AATTGAAACAGTACGTTTTAATTCATTATCTCACAGTTAAAAGTTCATTAGTCTACTCTTCTCAAATGGAGCATCAAACACCCTCCTTCAATTCCTTCCCCTTGGGGTTGAAATTCATTTAGTAAACCAAAAAGAAATTATGATAATATCTAAGGCTAGGTTTAGAACAAATTCAGAAATTATATAGATTTCATTTCCTAATCCACATTTTGTTCCCTTAAGGGTTTATCAAAATTTGGAGTTCACTACTCCAGTTCCAAGTAAATTTAATATGAGATCAATTTTGATCGTTTTAAACAGTGTTGTCACCATATTTAGTCGAACCAAAGCTATGTTTACAATATATACAGAAATTTTTTCATTTGTAAATACACAATTAGATCAACTAGGACAAGATGCAAATTCTGTTAGAAGATTAAACAAATTAACCTCATATGAAATTCGAGGTAGAGTTACATGTGAGGTCAATTTTTACGATTTTAGAGAAGATCTTCCCATACTTTAATTTGAATCAAATTTGGCTTTGCAAATAAATCCTACAAAGTTATAGATTGTCTCCAAAGACAGTATAAGTGTGGATTTGCAAATGAATTCCAAGAAATTTATGGATTCATTTCAAAACATAGCCTAACAGTTGGACACAGGGAATACTTTTTTTCTTTCAAGCCCTAAACATAAAACTACAGAAATGAAAATGAATGGACTCACAATTCATTTGTTCCAAGTATACATGTTAAGTATAATGTTATTATAGAATTCAGTATGTTGACTGATGGAACAAATTGTTTGAATCAAAATTGATAAACGCATAAAAACTAAAAAGGTAAAGGTTATAGCGGGAAATGAGAGAAGAAGGAGATCTTTGGGCAAAGAAATTCAAGTATTAGTTAACCTTGAGTATAATGACTTAACCACTGGTAAGTTATCAAACTGTCAAAAGAATCCATGAAACCAAAAGCTAACAAAAGATAAACTGAATATTTGCACGGAGTTTGAGGAATCAATTTTAAATTGAGACTGAATATAAATCTCTTATTTGAAATTCAATCAGGAAAAAAATAAATTCTATTGTATCCGAGCAGCCTGAATCTGATGTAGTAGAGAGAAGAGTGGCAAAGCAATAAGCCCTGAAGTTGCTATTTTGAAAATTTAAAGTGCAAGCTGAGGAATTAAGTGAAAGGAAGAAACCTTCTTTCTGATGCGAGAATGCCGAGCAGTCCTGTCTTCTTTACTGGTTCTGGCTTTGGCTTCCAGTTGCAGCATGGGAGTAGGCGCGGACACAGAGGATAGTATTTGGGTTCCCCCCAATTTGGGGGAATGCGAACTCCCCATAAACGCAGTTCTATTGCTTTTCAATATCAACCATGATGACGATGAATAACAACTCGTACCGGGGATCGAAGCCATTGGCGTACTTGTTCGATATCACCTAGCACTTTCCCTCCATTCACTTCCCTTACGCTACCTTATCCTTTTTATTATAAAATCCTCGACTCTATCCCCCTTTCTGATCTTTTTACTACTACACAGAACCTAACCTTGACTTTTACCATGTTGTAATTCTTTTAAGTCATAACCATCTCAAAATGTTTACAGTCATAATCATACGCTTACATACATATATATATATATATATTTACAGTTAAAATAAATATTAAAAAAGATTATTCATACTGTTTTGTTTATATCTGAAAGTTATCACTTAACTTGTTAAGTTTGTCAATTTATTTTATTTACTGGTTTTTCAATATAAATAAAACGCACAGTCTAACTTGCTCCCATTTTTCAATTCATTGTCCCCATCTGTCATCTTCACACTCTTTTCTATTGACTTTTGCTTATTATAAAACACACTGTAATCAGTTAACTAATTTTATATATAACAAATTGAATTTTAATTTTAAAAAGTAAGAAGAAAAAAGGGGCTAAATTTTTCAAAGTGAAAACTCTCATTTCCACGCTTTTCTAAACGTGGGTCAAATTTGCTTTTCCATAATTGTAAAGGAGCAATGATCCTCTTAAGCTTCTTATGTTTGTTAGTTCACCATAAAATATAATCTGCTTAGTTACCACTTTTTTCTATCTCAATTTCCCTTGCGCAAGCATTCTTCTTGTTCTCTATAAACAGATTATGCATGAAACTTTTTGCATTAGTCAGTAATTTGTGCCTAACACAACTTTTTGTTAGATTAAAAACCCTTCCCAAGTATTCAGCCAGTTCACCATTCACCATTCAATTGTTTGTTTAGGATTCCAGAAAAAACCAAGCTTCTTCTAAGAAGCTCGTTGTCACAGTAGTTTCCTTTTCCTCCGTCTCATATTCGCCCTCCCCATTGTAATGTACACCTCTAAAACATGGCAGCATGAAATAACAATAACTAGTGGTGACTTACATGGGCTAAAAAATCTCTTGCTTCTATCTCTTAGCAGGAAATTCTTTTAAGTAATCAACTCGTAAGCTGATGGTACATCATGTAACGGATGACCCTTCTGATTTCTTTCCATTATCTTCCTTGCCAGACGGACTTGCTTCCCAATGACAAAGATGAATGCCTTACCCTTTCCTCCAGCTCCTCTGGCAGTTCTTCCCACGCGTCGAACATATTCACTAGGATCACGTGGAAAGTCAAAGAGTACAACATGATCAACACCAGCAAAGTCAATTCCACGCGATGCTCTGATAGTATCACATAAGCACATATTACTATTCTGTTACTTGTTATCTGGTTACCGGGTCCTATTTCAAGTTAAAATGAAGAAATTGGGGTACAAACAAAATCGGCATACCTATCTGTGCAAACTAAAAATAGAGAGTCTCCTTCATGCCAAGAACCAGTGAATTCCTTCATATTTGCGAGTCGCGATTCTTGTGCCACAGCAGCATGGAATGGTAGGACCCGCAACCTAGTTCCTTTTCTGTCAACTCGTTTTAATGTGTTCTCAACTTTTCTGCAGGTCTCAATCTGCAAATTAAGAATATGTAAGAACCTAATGTAGGCCACAATGATCCCAAACAGCTTTGAACTAAATTTGCATTACAAATTTCTCACTTGAAGCTGAAGTTTACCTTATTACAGAAAATTATTGTTTTTGAAACAGGACTTTCCTCCACAAGCTGCAGTAGAGCAGCTTTCTTGTTAAGAAATGCTGTCTCTGGAGTTTTTTCAGCACCACATTCTCCACTGCAATCTACAAGAACCTGGAGATTGAACTCAAAATTTTAGTTTCATAATTACTTACATTGTTCAGAATTAATATTTTTACTTCTAAGGAAAAGATTCACATGTTGCCAGTTACTGAGCATTTTAATTCAAGCTAGATACTAAATTGCCATCTCTATGTTTAATTAATAGAGATTGATATGAGATTACTAGACCCTGAGACCAAATGTTATATTTCTATCCAAGGATCTTGTTATGAGACCAATTGGTATGAGCTCATTAATAGAGAATCCAAAGGTCTTCAAAGTCCTTGAAAGCTCAAGAAAACTTTTCTGAATTTATTGTTCTACTTAACCTCTTTATTCCTTGTATTCTTAGTTTTATACCCAGACTGGAAACGAGCTATTCCATTCAAGAACTGGACAGAAACTGCCCATCCATTAAGACAATCAAATACAAGAGAAATTCAAACACCACAAATTGTCTATCAAGCTTATTGCCCCAACTGAAATACATAGGCATAATATAATCAAAATATAACAACTAAATGTTCAGCAATTAACAGCCCAGCCTTTCATTCTACCTCCAATAGTAGACTTAGTCAAATGACACAATACCAGGGCACATAACAAACATATCTGAACTCGGGAGAAATAATCTCAATTTGCAGCAAAAAGAAATAACATTTTAATTAAGAATCTCACTGAAAAAATTGACTGCATTGACTTTCCAACCTAGTAAGAAAATGCATAATTGGCATTTTTTACCATTCAGATTCAACTAGCAATGCTTACCGATAAAATAAATAATTTGTAATGACTAAAGTTTTAATTTTAGAACCAACCTCTTCAAGGCCAGGGTTTACACGGTGGATACCAGGTCCCATGATTGCTTCACAATCAGGAAAAAGTTCAACCACCTTGTTGTACACATCTATGGGTAAAGTTGCAGTTATGAATAGATATTGCACACTGACGGGTGAAGAACTGATCAAAGTTTGCAGTGCTACCTCAAAGGCCTCATCATTAAAGAGTACATCAACCTCATCTAAAACAGCACTGGAACATGAGTATATTATTAATATCCACATTGACCCTCTTAATACTAATACAAGCAACCAAAGAAGAATACTTCACTTGTCTATACCCCAAAATCTCCATCAGTATCCCATGGAGAGAGAAAGAGAATTTTGGAGTAAGAATTTATTCTTCAATCCTCAAGGATTGTAGCCATACAATTACGACAGACTAAACAAAACCTATAAAGACCCGTGCTTCAAACATAAAACTTCTAGTATCATAGGAAGCCAAAGATAACTATATTGCCGAGCTAGGGCATGTTGATATCATATTACCCATAAATTTAAATTAGAAAGTACAACACGTGAAATCAACAATATAAAAGGAAAAATTCGATTTGAGGACAGTTTGTTTACCATCTCAGATTAGTCAAGCTCAAGAACCCTTCTTTAACTAGGAGCATGAAACGACCAGGGGTCACTATTAAAACATCAACGCCTTGCTCCAAGCTTTCTAGTTGAGTTCTCTGCCGAAAACCACCAGTCGCAACCATAGATTGGAATTGAATTCCATTTTTAGACATTGATCGGCAGTTGCCCAAAACCTGCAAAAGCTTCCATATGTGTCAAGGAACAGATTTACTGCGATAGAGAAGGATCCAATATCAAAACAGATATCCAAATCCTACAATTTAAATGACAAAGAGATTTAATACTTCAGCCAAGATTAAAGTACTTGATTTATTGTCTGCAATTAGTAACACCAAAAGTCTAAGGCTTAACCCTTTTAAACTTCCCAACAATCAGAGAATATATTTGAATGTTATCCTGGCAGATGGAAGAGAACCCCATTTTTGAATTAAAGCATACGGATAGAGACTACCATCTGAAAACCATAAAGCTTGGTCCAGCCATGCATCATCTCAGTTTTTAGTTAGAATCTTACGTACTGAAATTGAAAAACTTGAAGCCTTTGCCTCTGTCTAAGGCTCAGCAGCACCTCCTTACATCCAATAAGAACGAAAAAATCTACAAGCTTCCTTTCACTTGAGACCTGTGGGAATTGTCTTTTGTTGTTTTGACTTTGGCAATCAGCAAGGATTTTAGATTCAAACAAGCAGATATTTTAAATCAAGGGTGAAACTTTGTTATATGATGTGAGAAATGAGATACTTAAGGCCTATAAAAGCAGTTGTCTGCTACCATGAAGTTAGCTTAACCTTTGAGAAACTTTTAGGACGTCTTGAGAAAAAGAGCAGCTATGTAAACATTCTTTTCCTCCTTTTCCATGTCCTTTAGTTATGTGCAGGAAAGCAACCCCACTTGCCCCAGTCCTTTCAATTGCAGTTATTTTTTGAACCAAAGAAGAGTTTCTTGTTCTTCAATCTTAACTTCAAGCTTCTTCTAAATCCAAGAGACTCACAAGATAAATAAATTAGTTGGGTAGAGTTTCAGCAGTTCACTAATAAGTTCAGAAAATTCATTTTCATACAGTAACTTACTTTTTGGTAATTCCCACAGTAACAAATATATTTGTTTTGCACCAGTTACTGAGAATTAGCAAAGTACTCAAATTGCCATACTTGGCACAAATTACTTATGTTCAGTAAGCCATTGACGACAAGGGGCAGAGAAACCAAAAAAAAACAAATCGGTTTGTCTTTTGGCTACTGACCTGAGAAGCCAACTCAGCGGTTGGTACCATTATAACTACTCGAGGACATCGTGATGAAGATTGGCTATGTCCTTGAAGTTCTTCTTGCCTAAGACGTAGGATCATAGGTAGAAGATATGCTAATGTTTTTCCTGATCCACTCTGATCAGCTATAATACAACTTTTTCCTTCAATAGCAGGAACGAAAGCCATTGCCTGCAGTCAGCCATTGAAGAAATGTATTGATGTAAATAGTACCCAATAAAACCACGTAATCCGGCAATTTGCAACAACTACAATTTACCATGTAACTCCCGGCAATTGTAACAGGAGTTTTTCGCAATAACTACAAGTTGAACCGAAACTAACTGCAACGAAATTCCTAAATGTATCTAACCTATGCTTTTTGCTAATTGGGAGGGTAAAGGGTTGATATACCTGAATATGTGAAGGGCGCAGGAAGTTTTGAGCTTTAAGCGATTCTATAACATGCTCACTGCAGCCCAATTCTCTGAAGGTTTTTTTACTAAAAAAACCATTGTCAGCAGACAGTTTATGGAATCTCAGATGTTGGAGGGTTGAATCAGATTCATGGTGACGAATGGAGCGGCTATTTCCCCATCTTCTTAAGTTAGAATTGGCCGGTTTTGAATGTGAAAGTTGGGATCCATCTCTTGGGGCATCGGGTTCGTGAGGTTTATATGTGGTCGTTGGAGGAGGTACTGCCCGATTATCTCCATGTCTTGCAGTTGCAGCGTAATTGTCTGTGGTTTCTCTAAAATCCCGTAACCGAGTTGGAGCATTTGTTATCATCTTCTTCCTCATGGAATTGAGTATAGAAGCAGATATAAGCGTAGATTGGTGGTCTTCAGCAACATGTTCATCTTTAAGAGCAATTTCTTGCTTCATCCGGGAAGTCTTTCTTCTGACAATAGCTTTTACAGCCTTAGCTTTTAAATTTCCGAAACGGGCAACTGATTTGGCGACTGGGGCAGTTGGGATACCAGGTGCCGCACCTGGATTGCCTGTCAAACCAGAAAAGGCTGGATTGTGAATTAAAAGAATAAAAGAGAAGGTAAAAAGGAAAGGAAAAACAGAGAAAAGAAATAGAGGAGAGAACATGAAGACGGATCCCCATTGGGAGTTTGGTGTTGCTGGTCGTCAATTCCTCCCCAAACGATGATTTTGTCTCCGGTATCGTCGTGAATAAGCTCATAAGCGCCTGGAGTTTCCATGGGTTTCCGGCTATAACCACTCCTCACCCCTACCACTACACTCTTGGCGCTCCTACTACCCAACTGCAACGTCCACCTCCTGCTGCTAGTGGTGGAACTGGGGTTTCCCACCGGAAATAGCAGAGGAGCCTTTGCCAGCATTCTGTTCTTTTGTGTTGAAAAAAACGTAAAGACAAGATTTTTCTTTTATCCTTTACAATCTTTAAGCCCGGGAATTTGATTTGAGAGGTAAGACCCTAAGAGCATTGTTTTTACAAGTTTGCCATGACTAAAGGAGAGAAGAAAAGGTTTTATTTTTTATTATTATGCTTTTTTCTTTCCTTCAAGAGAAATTTTTTGTTTAGAGGGAAAAAAAAAAAAAAAAAAAAAAGCGGCTGGCCACGTATCAACGTGTTACTCGATGAGCCAAAAATGTGGCTCTCCCATATCCAGCAAATCACGCAGAACCACTCCCAAGAAAATAAAAAGAGGGAGACTTTGAATGGAAGGTGGAAGACCCAGCTATGGTAAATCCAAGGACACACGATAGCTTCGTCACGGTTGGCTCTTCTTTTGGGGGAAGTCATATATTAATGACTAGTACTCAGAGCAGCAGTAAAGTAGGTTGGTTCGCCTTACTAATTCTTCGCCAACTAAATTTTGTACGTTTGTTTTTGTAAAATTTAGATTTGATAAAAGTTTGTTGTTTTGGAATGTGTAGAAGAAAGCGATGAAGATCTTTTGATGGTTCCTGATGTAGAAGCGCCCCGCTCTTGTACAAATAACAAGACTAGTAGCAGTTGTGGTGTTAATGATAATAATGGCATGATTAATCCAGAGTCTCCGAACCAGCCCAAGCGTCGCAAGGGACGGAACCCAGTTGATAAGGAGTACAGACGGCTCAAGAGGTATTCCCTTTTCCTCTTTAATAATTTTGTTTTACATTCTTTTATGTGAGAAGAAATGTATATAGTTGAGTGGTACTTGAACCCAGTCATTGTTTTTGTTGAAAATTTTGGAGAAAACTGGAAAGTAAATGTATAAATACGTTTAGGTTGCTAAGAAATCGGGTGTCTGCCCAACAAGCTAGAGAAAGGAAGAAGGTGTATGTGAATGAGCTGGAATCAAGAGCCCAAGAATTGCAGGACAGAAATGCAAAGCTAGAGGAGAAGATTTCTACTTTAGTAAATGAAAACACCATGCTTCGAAAGGTAGGTAATACCATCTTCATAAGCTCGTATATATATATATATTTATATACTGATCAGTTTTCTTCGGTACCTGCAATTTTTGTACTGCCAGGTACTCATGAATACCAGGCCTAAAGTTGATGAACATGTTGAGGGCAAACAGGATCAGTTGGGTGAAGCATAGGGACTCATTGTGTTATATTATTTGCTAAAGAACCAGTGTCTGGTGTGATTGGGAGTATCAAATATTATTGCAGTTTCTGTCTCTTTTTCACTTCGGCTTACCTCTCTTTCATTCAGTGGGCATGTCAAAAAGCTTGTATCCAACGACCAATTATTATCATACTCAACATTTTGTACAGACCAGTAACTAAACAATACTTACTACGCCTTTTTAAGAATTTGAAATCCTCTAATCATTATCTTAATAGTAAACTAACACGTGTCGATCTGAAATTATTTTATATTTAAAATAATAACGATAATTTTTTATTTCTTTCTAATTTTGTTCACATAAAATAATATTTATATCATCATATTTTATAAAATTCTAAGCGCTGCGCAAAGGCAAGGCAGATTTGCAACGAAAGCTTTCCCGAATCTTCTCCAAATTGCTAGCAGGGGGTCATCTCGCTCACACTTTTTTACTTTCTCATCCCAATAAATACGATTTTTGGATACCAAGGGTGAACCGGATTGCCTCGGAAATAAATTGAAGTCCTAGATCTAATCGCAGACTCCTCCTTCAACCCGGGCTGCAAAATTAGAGCTCGGAAGTGAAGGGTTTGGCATGGCCAACTGGAGTGCAGGACGAGGAAGAGCAAGTCGGGGAATGCTGCCGCTTCTGGCACTTCACGCCGTCACCGAGTACTATCGCTTGCCGTGGAAGCCGCCGGTTACTGCCGGCCTTCTTGCCGCCAACACGCTCATCTATTTGAGGCCCGGTTTTTTCCATCATACCCTTCCTTCTATCGACGAGGTCTGGTTCAATCCCCACCTCATCATCAAGGTACGTGTCTCTCTTTCTCTTCCTTGTTTTGACCAAATCCCTTTTCAGTTGTTTTTATGCTCATTTCTAATCTCCCTTCCTGATTCAGTTGCTGGATTGTATGGTAATTTGGTTGAATCGCTTCCTTCAGATATTGCAAGTTTAACATATTGCACATGATTTCGCACATTTAATCACCTCCTAATTTGGCATTAATCTATCTCTGTCTGATATTTTCTTTGGTTCGGGCTAGTAGATGTTACATTTGAAGTACTCAGCTTGTCCTCGACGAGGTATTTTATTTGAATATTCAACTGCTCTCTATTTGTATGCACATTTACCAAATCATAACCTTTTCTTTTTTGTTTATTTACTTCCTCTGCATTCTTTTTTCTCTAAATTGGGCTTTTTAAGATACTAGTTGTAAAATGCCCGACTGTTACTTCAATGTTTGTTTAACAATAAGAAATTAAAAGCAAAGGCCTCTTATACTCTCCCACCTTTCTTTGTTTTGGCATGAAGAACGCTGATATTGAATTGGATTAACGAGTTAAAAGATTTTATTATGTTGATGGCTTTTTGTAGTCGTCGTTTCATTCCCATAGGTCAAAACTACATCTATAGCCTCAGGAATCAATCTGAAATACGATTACGGGGTTTGGATGCAATGTTCTTTTTGGAAGTGATCACGTATTATGTGATTTCATCTGGCTTGTTAAGATGCATTTTTTTTTTTTTCTGGTGGCTGCATTTCTCTATGCAGCAATTCTGTTTCCTTTATTTCTCTTCCGTGGTTAATCTGGTTATGTTTTGACTTCTAACAGCACAGGGATCTGAAACGCTTCTTCCTGTCACCATTTTACCATCTAGGAGAATCTCACCTTGTCTACAATATGATGTCGCTGCTATGGAAGGGGACCCAATTAGAAACGTCAATGGGAAGCACTGAATTTGCGTCAATGGTGGCAGCACTGCTTGCTATGTCGCAGGGTATAACTGTGTTGCTAGCCAAATCACTTCTCTTCTTTAACTATGAGCGACCTTACTTCTATGAATATTCTGCTGGATTTTCTGGCGTTCTCTTTGCTATGAAAGTTGTCCTCCATTCTCAGTCTGAAGATTACACTAATGTGCACGGACTTGTTGTACCAGCACGTTATGCTGCATGGGCAGAATTGATTCTTATTCAGATGTTTGTTCCTGGTGTTTCATTTCTTGGCCATCTTGGCGGTGTACTTGCTGGGATTCTTTATTTGAAGTTGAAGGGTGGATATTCGGGTTCAGATCCGCTAACTGTAGCTATAAGAGGACTGACTGGTGTATTAAGCTGGCCTATAAGGTTTTTGAGGAACAGATTCGAATCCGGCTGGCAGAGGACTTCAGGGAGGAGAACTTTTGGCAGGGGTCTTTCTAGTAGTGCTTCTGTTGGTGTATGGAGATGTCCAGCCTGTACATATGACAACTCTAATTTGTTAAGCATTTGTGAGATGTGCGGAACTGGTCAGAGTGGGAATCGATTGTTTTCTTCTTCTCAAGGCATTCCTTTGGAAGAATTACGTCGTAGAAGGGTTGAAAGATTTGGTTGATGCCTGATCTTAAATAGATTTATGGTGTTACTGATACATTACGGCCGCTAGTACCACACTAGTTTGAGGGTTGGAAATAATGTCGAAAGCAGCCAGCATGGGGTTCTCCAACTAGATACATTACGGCCTCCACCACATGCACTAGTTTGAGGGTTGGAAATAGTGTCAGAAAGCTACATGAGCGTCTGCAACTAGTTTTCCACCCTGCCCAAATTGATAATGCTTTGATGGTACAGACTATACATTGTCACTCCTCCAATGGTTTGCCTTGGATGCATTGCTGACTCTTGAGGTTGGCGTTAAAGTAAACAAAGAGGCCTTTTGGTAATGTCCAAACAAATGTCTTCAAATTCTTTAGGTATTGATATAAAAATAAGTAGATTTTTGTTTTAAAAAATAATTACATATTGTAAAAAATTAATATATAGAAGAAAATATTATGAAAATAAACATGTAAATTTATACGGAGAACATAAGGAGAAGATAAGATATTTTTCTTTCTTGGTTATTTGCGCGGAATAAGCTTCATATCACATAATTGCCACCTCGAAAGAACTTTTTGGGTCCTAATGTGTTGAAATAGACAAATGAGAGTTAGAAGTGGCGAACATATCTAATTACATAAACTTTTTGGGAGTTTAAGCTAAGCAAGTGGATGGGAAAGATTGGTAAACATAATATATGGCAAATGTGATATGTTAATTTTATGTTGAATTTAATACGGAGATTTAAAATGTGCTACTATTTGACGTCTAATGGTTTGTATTAAATAATTATTCGACTCTTGACACTTGTGCTTAGGGTGTTAGGAGATTAGATCATGTATTAACTCGGAGATTTTTATTGAATTTTATAAATTTTAGTCATACAAGAATTAATATTTTTTAAATAAAAATATATATTTAGATATGCCATGTTAGAAATAGTGCTGTAGGTTTTAGTCATACTAGTGTATCAGGGAAGAATAGAAAAAACTGCTTTTTTTTTCTTTTTTACTGTAATTTTGGGATACATATAGTGCAAAATGGTATATATATATATATATATATGACACAAGAGAATATTATTTTTAATCAAAATGCATTTAGTTTTAAGGAAATATTATCTATAATAATATGATAAATTATGATTTTAATTTAGTATGTTTGGAAATGAATTAGTAGCAGTAGGAGTAGGAGGAGGCTAGTGTTATTAATTGAAATCAAATCAATTAATATATGGAGGAGAATAAGTTGTGAAACACGAGTTTATATGCCTTTCAATATATATACACCCACTCATTCTCCCTCCTGCATGTATATGTGTGTGTGTATATATATATATATGCCTGCCTAATTACTCAAAAGTAAGGAGACGTAGTTATTAATAGTAGGAATAGATAGGATGTTTAAAGAGGAATATATGTGTTTAGGCAGACAGCTTGAATGCACTGCACCGCATGCAGAGGGAGAGACGAAGCCCTCCGTCCAAAAATATTCATAACCTCTTGGCTTACCTACCACACACGTTGCTTTTCTTCCTTTTTCCTCATCTACCAGCTACGCCATTATAAACAACTTCTTCTTCTTCTCTTTAATTATTATATATAACATAAAAACTATTAATTCTTTAACTCTTTTCGCTACTTATATAAAACTAGCCGTATACGATCCTCTTCTATCTTATATTTGCATAACCTATATATTTACAACTAATATCTTCCGCCTTGCAGTGTCTGTGTGTATATATATATATATTCATCTTTTCTTTCTTCTTTTTTGGCTTTTTGGGTGTGTATCCCTACGAATATATGGATGCATTGCATGTCTATACTATAATTAATACATGCATGTATTTACGCGGTACATATATATATATATATATATGCGTTACTTCCTTCGTCACCAAAACATATCTTACCCGATTCTACCTATAGCTTTCACACTTATATATAAATATATATAATATGTATTTTAATCATTGATTAACCCTTCAGATCATCAATTCCCATTAACAAACTCATGGATGGATGGTCATAAAAAGGCAAAGAAAACGGTCACGTCCAAGAGAAAAGAATAAAGCTGCGATCATCGTAATTATATTAATTAAGACTACTTTTTCAGAAAACAGCACTCACTCGTCGTGATCACAATTCAAATATATATATATATATATATATACATACAATGATATATGAGTTCAAAAGAAAAGTATAGATTGTCGTAACACTATATATATATGTATACATATATGTTAATCAAGAATACAACTGGACAAAGCAATATATGTCTCTAGCTAGTTTCCGTAGCCGCACGTACGTAGTCATTAAGATTTTAAAAGAAGCTTTAACTTAGTGAATGAAAAGTGATAATATATCTTGCTAGCTACCTAAGAATATATATATATATATATATATATATACGTACTTAGTTACTAAGGAAAAGAGGATGCATTGTAAATATACAATCACGAAAAGGTAATTATTAATTATATTTTTAAATTCAACTTAAGAGTAAAAAGAATTTAATTAATTAGTAAATATCTATAAATTTTATCGATTTTTTTTAAAGACATATTAGTTAATAGTTAAGATAACTGTGAATATATTTGGGTCAATTCAAAAGTATAATAAACATATATATATATATATATTCGTGGATTCTATCCAAGTTTCATTTACAACCTCCCATCATCAAATTAGCTCTAAAAAAATGATAATTACAGCCTCCACTAATATTTACAAGAGATATTATAGATACAAGTTGGTGCATCTTGACCGTCCAATTAATATATGTAATTAAAACAACCTGGCAAAGTAGTACAGTGGTACTCTACCTAGCTACCTGACCGTGTGATCGTATAATCACTCCTCTACACTAGTTATATATATGTGTGTGTGTCCATCGAGTGTCGGACAGAAGATCATTGACAGTAGCCTGAAAATCAAGTTAATCAAAGTGCGAAAGAGGTGATGGCGGCTTACAGCAGACAAAGAAAGTCGTCTTCTTGCCTGTCCATTTTGAAGATATTCACTTCGTGTTGTTCGCGCGAGAGGGATTACGATTACAGCGACGACGGTGGGCTCGACGGCAGAAGGATATGTCGAAGCGACGAAGATGGCAGGCGGTGGATTGCAGAGCCTGGAATTGATCGTCGGGCTTCAGCCTACATAGCAAGGTTTTACGAGAGTCGCGCTGAGTACCAAACTCTAGCTGCTTAATTAATTAATATTCTTTTGGCTTAAATTTATATGACGTACATATACATATGTCTGTCATCTCATCTCTTTCCCTGACTCTGTGCTCGCCATATAATTTTGAATAACGAAGAGATGAGATCACTATTAACATTAATAATACATTTTTAATTTTTAGAACACATTAAATTTAATTTGCACCTAATATACATTATCCATATCATATCTTAATTTCTACTTGTCTCTCAGTTTTATGTTTTATTAATGTAAACAGAGTTTGGTTCAGAATGTGCATGCAGTAAAGATTTTGGAATAAGAACTATTGACGCCATATACGAGCAGCAACTATAGGTGTAAGTAAATACATGTAATGTCCGAAAAATCATATCATCAAAGCCTAATTTGTGGGCTCTGTATGTGTCGTAGCTAGTTGGTCTAATTGAAACGTAAAGAAGTCAAATCAGGGCTGTTCAATACAGTGGTTGTTGGGCTATAATTTTTTTGTAAAATAGCCGAAGCCAATGAAATAATTGAACATCTAAAATTGCAAGTGATTATAGAGTAAATAATAGAGTCAATAATTGAGAGATTGATGTGAAAGGTTTTGGATTGTATATGTATGGATGGAAGATGATCTGGGAGTAGCGAATAATGAGGAAGGTACAGGGATAGGTACTTCGATGAGTTTAGTTTAGGTGTCTACGACAATGTGTCTTCTGTCTCGTAAAACCACTACGTGGGTGGCCACCCTTTTCCTTTTTCTTTAAAAAAAAAAAAAAAAATGAAATGAAAATTTTGACGAGTCGATGCTACTGTATATAATGTCGTTTCTGGTTAATGGGCATGGACCATATTGCTTACAGTCTAATTTGATTATAATATGTGTACGTAAAAGATAGGGTGATTTGAATATAGAATGTTTGAGAAGAGACAAACCGACAGCCATCTTTGAGGGGGGAGGGGGTTAAAAACTTGAAAATGTAAGATGAGAGGGTTCGCCGCATTAATTGATTGAGTCAATGCTTTTCATCAATTAAAAATGCAAGTCTGTGACCTTCCCCTCACTCTCGGCACCCGGCATGGCCCAAACATATTATTAAAATCTGAACAACTCTTATTCTCGAAACTGGGGTGGATTCATGCACTCAACTCTTCCCCCGCATTCACATTATAACTGCATATATATATATATATATATGTATATATACTGTCTCGAAAAACACACACTAATTCACAAATACGAAATATTCACTTGAGGCTGAGGATATGGTTTTTGATTAACACATGATATATATATCATCACGAAATTAAAATAAACAAATATGTTTGCGTTAAATGTGGGTGATGATAGATATGGGAGGTGTGAATTACAAGATTAAAAAAAAAAAAAAGGAGGAATGGGTTGGGTCTCAGTGAAACATGTGGACGGCACATGTCCTGTGCAAGTGGTAGAGATTAGGTTGACATCCCATATCAACTCAAAATTAAAGAGGCGCACCACCTTCACCATAAATTTCTGTACGAAAGGAAATTTAAAGTTTTGAATTGAAACAATTACTCCGATATTTATTCTTCAACCCCTTCGACGAGCAAGTCCAAGTCAACTTCGTGGATGGCAAAAACGTTTTAATTTAGTGGAGATCGAGAAATTAAATACATTACAATGAAGGGTTATGCACAAGGAGTTGAGGGTAAAATATTTTGCATCATATAAAATTGTAGAGAGGTTTAAAAAAGAGAAGACATTCACGTGCAGAGGTCTGTTTGGGAGCGTGCAGCATGTGCTTGGGTTCAGTGGGCGGACAAGTTTTGAGATAAGAAAAAAAGTTTTTCTTTCTTTCTCTTTCTATACGCTCATCTCACGGATCTTGTTTCTTTCCATCTCTCTTTCCTCCTCTTCCTCTATAAATGTAAAGCAGCTTCCCTCCATGGTATTAGCTAGAGAGAGGAACACCATCGTATCAACTACGTACGGACCGCTACACTACATATATAAAATGGCTTCTTGGAAGAAAACCATCACTTCCCCTTTTAGAAAGGCTTGCACTTTTTTCAATCACCAGCACCAGCACCAGCACCAGCACCAGCACCCTAGGGATCATAACAAGAAATCTCATCAGCCAGGTACGTGTATATATACAGAGTATGTATGTTTTTTGTATGATGGAAAAAGTAAAAAAAAAAAAAATGGATGTGGGTGCAGATCATGATGAAAAGGGAGTGAGGAATCTGCATGGACAAGTGATGGCGTGTGGATACGAGGATGTTCAAGTGATGTGGTCTATCCTTGACAAGTCCAAGTCCGAACCCAACTGCAACATGTCTTCCTGATCCAACCATCACCCTCCTTGTACATATATATAATTTACATATTAGAAGACTCCAAACAACCCAACACAAGCGGTGGCTCTCTCCTTTTTGAATTACCTTGTCATCATAAGGGTGTGTGATTCTCTAATTTTTAATTCACATGTTACTTTGGGGAATCCCCGTGATATTAATGAAATTCACGGCGAGATTGTTTTCTTTTAATCAAAATTATGCACATTCCTTTTTCTCCCTCACCTATAAATTATTTTTATCCCCTTTGTAACAAAGATAAAACCAACAAACACCAAGCAGGTTTTCTTCTGCAAAACCTTCTACGACCTGTTGGCACAAGTGCCGTAAGATCATCTTACTTCCTCTTTCCCTAGTTAACCAGAGACGACGGCCTGGTTAATAATTATTTTAACTTTTTTAAATTAATAATTATTTTAACACACTACATTTTTAATCAAAAGTGAATTAAGGATTATATTTTTTTCTCAGAAAACAAATTATAATCCTTGCAGAAATATTTTTCCCAATTCCTATGACAACAATCTGCATGATTTAAATTTTTAATTATAACATGGATCACATCGTACAAACTAGAAAAAGCAATGATCTTTTTGAATACCAAACAGTCTACTTCATACCCTAGTCAAATGGTACCTAATGTAGTGTATGGGACGGTACCCCCTTTTTGTAATTACCGCCTTTTTATAATATTCTATTCCTTCGACCAAAAAGGAGTAACAACTTATTATTATTATTATTATTCCATTAACCCAACTGAGAGACATATGCGCACAACATTCAGGTCTAAGTCTGACTCTAGACAGAATCTCCAAGCTTAATCTGGGACATTGTCCGACTCTCGACTCAAGACTTGGTCTCAAAGTTCAATCTGGGTCATAGTGTCAAGAATAATACAACTCAAGATGTGGAACCCTGTCTACTCCCAGGCACAACATAGCCAGATTCTCATATATACATAAATATGTATATGTATACATCTAAAATATTTACCAGCCAAAATAAGGTGTAAATCTTCCAACAAAATCCATTCGACTTGTAATATAACCACTTTTACATTAGTATATTCTTTCATATATATAAGGATAATTACACTTACATCCTAACAAACATGTCCAAAATTTATAATTCAAGCATACCAGTCAAATTCCCTTAAGGAGAAATTGTCCTCGCACACCACACAGGCGCATATGATCCGTAGGCATGGCATCAAGCGCGAGACTCCAATCATTGGCTCTCACCCTGCCCATAATAAAAATCGGGCAAAAACAGTGGTCCAAGATTTCTCCAATCAATCAGCTAATCAATGGTCACATCTTCCACTAGATCAATTTCTTACTCATTTTCACGTTTAAAACCTAAACTTCTAAGAAGAGACAAACATCTATGGTTTCTAATCTACAACATTCCAAGCAGTAGGGAACAGATTTTAGCCACATCAACATCCCCAATAATATAATGTAATGATGGATGCATCATGATGACCGCGAAAAGCAATCCATTTAGAAGCCTCGCTGACCCCTCTTTAACCATGAAAGTTACACCAAACAAATACAAGATATCATACAAGGAATATCCATGGTACTCGACCCGATGGACTCCATTCCACAGTGTAAGAACAGAATAGGCTACCTTAAAAAAATTTATAGCTCCAGAAAGGGGAAAAAAGCAATGACAGAGATTCCTAAGAGAGTTAGGTTGCACATCAACTGTAACTACGTCTTCAACCTTTCACAGCTATCTTTTCTGTTTCACTTCACCGAGCATTCCTCTCTTCTCTTGCTTCAAGAGCATCAACTTCCTCATTTGATAAAAGATCAACAATGGGCTCATATACATCCCACTCCTTCCTTTTCCTGGTACATTAGAGAGCCAAAAGGATCATTTGCACCATATTGCAGTTTTCTTCTTGTGTTCTTTCGGGTACATGGCATTTGACAGTAAGAAATATCAAAATGCAACAAAACGATAAGAAAAGGAGAAAACTACATGTAGGGGGAAAAAGGAATTACAAGTATTACAAAAAACATGATATTTCACAGACTAAAACCATGTACTTAAGAAATTCCGAAATAAGCCAGTCCATTA